GCCATACCATGTCTCCCTCCATCTAGTCAGTAACCGTATGCGCCACCTTTTATATACATGATTGCCCGCTCTGCCGTGGCTTCTGTCATCGGCGCCGAGGATGTTTGGCTTTGCCTTTGGAGGTCCCTGGCAGCGACTTGTTCCGAATCTTCTTCTTATTCTATTCCGACTTCTTCCCATGCCAGCTTCTCCCTTGTGATTGTCATGATACCCTCCTTCTTCTCTTATTTACTGTGACGCATCTTGCATCCCACCTATACTCTATATCAACAATACCAGTGCTCGCTTTCTCCTTTGTTGGTTTCGGCGCAAGACTTGCTGTCTCCTCCCTTCTCTTCCATATCAGTCGTATCATCTACCTGTTCCATCTTGAATCATGGCGTCCAAGACAAAACAAGATGGCAAGGCGCCGACCTCGGCCGCCGTGAACCTCATTGGTATGTATACTTACTCTCGCAAGAGCGGCACGGCGTAGGCATCGTCACTAACACGACCCGACAGCCGGAGGTGGTGCAGGCATGATGGAGGCATTGGCATGTCATCCACTCGGTAAGACTCTCTCTTCTTTCCTTGCAGCACTAAAACTTCCCTCCCGCTGCGCGCATATGCATGCGCAAGCACAAACCCAAGCACAAGCAGACGCGCATACTCGAAGCAAAAGAACAAAGTCAATTGACATGGAACAACACCCACAGACACGATCAAGGTCCGAATGCAGCTGTCGCGGCGCGCGAGGCAGCCCGGCGCACCCAAGCGCGGCTTTATCAAGACGGGTGTCGAGATTGTCAAGAAGGAGACACCGTTGGGTCTGTACAAGGGTCTCGGTGCCGTTCTGACGGGTATCGTGCCCAAGATGGCCATCCGCTTCACGAGTTTCGAGGGGTATAAAAATGCTTTGGCGGACAAGAGCACGGGGGTCGTCAGTGGACAGGCAACATTTTTGGGTGAGTCATTCTACAAGAGTTGTGCTCTTCTGCCAGTGTACCGGACAAGACTAACCTTTGCTCTCGTGTTGGAATAGCCGGTCTCGCTGCGGGCGTCACGGAAGCCGTCGCCGTCGTAACGCCAATGGAAGTCATCAAGATCCGCCTCCAGGCGCAGCACCACAGCATGGCCGACCCCCTCGACATCCCAAAGTACCGCAACGCTGCGCATGCGCTCTACACGGTCGTCAAGGAAGAAGGCTTCGGCGCGCTGTACCGCGGCGTGTCGCTGACGGCTCTGCGACAGGGCAGCAACCAGGCCGTCAACTTCACGGCCTACTCGTACTTCAAGGAGGCTCTCAAGAAGTACCAGCCCGAGTTTGAGAAGACGACGCTGCCGGGCTACCAGACGACCCTGATTGGTCTCATCAGTGGCGCCATGGGCCCGTTGAGTAATGCGCCAATTGATACCATCAAGACGAGACTGCAAAAAACGCCGGCCGAGTACGGCGTTAGCGCGTGGAGTCGTATCACCAAGATTTCGGCTGACATGTTCAAGTATGTGGCTGCCACTGTCTCCTTTTCGCCCCTTGTCAAGTGAAATCATGCTGACTGTGACGACAGACAAGAAGGGTTCCACGCCTTCTACAAGGGCATCACGCCGCGTATCATGCGAGTTGCGCCCGGCCAGGCTGTGACGTTTACCGTGTACGAATTCCTCAAGGAGAAGCTGGAGAAGAGCAACCTCGCCTTCTCTGGGGCTGGCTACGAAGAGTAGTAAATGGCGCTTGCAACACGGTAGTGATGCAGCAGAAAGTTGTTTGTTTTTCTACGTGAAAGAGCAAGGGGATATCTGTCGATGCAAGATACCACGTCTTATCTGCGTACTCAAGGGCGGCTCTATGATTCTGAAAAGACAAGAATGCGTAACGTGGTAGATTGGAAAACGTGCAAGTTGTAGATATGTACGGGAGCACAATGTTCATAGAAGGTACCGCATTGCGACTGAAATCTTTGTCTATCGTCAGCCCGATCTACGGGTCTTGGATGTAATTTGCGTTGCACGCGCTCAATTCCAACCCAATTCTTTTTTTTTAACCACAAACCTGCCACGGCCGGGCACATGTTCGTCTACCGACCAGGTCTCTTGGGTCTGCTAAAGTTTTGTCGAACCGTCACCTTGGGGTGTAGCTCCGAGAGAACCGTATCCTCAGTGATCTCGCTGGGGTCCTCGACCTCGAGCTTCTTATCGAGCGTCAGCCCTGCCTCGCTGGACGCTACGTCGAGTACGGCGCGCTTCATAAGAGGGTACAGCATGCGGTTCTTGATGGACCTGTTGCCGGCGTTGACAGGGCAGGTATAGATGAAGAGCAAGGGGCTCGACTCGGCTTCGTTGTGGGTATGCGTAAATCGGTAAAAGGTGAAGCGCGGCTCGGTGGAGGAAATGGTCTGCGTGAGTTCGGCAATAGAGGAGGGGCTTTCGCTAGAGGGGACGAGCTCGACAGACTCCTTTTCGGGGTTGATTTTCTGTACATATTCAGTCAGCCAGGCTATATTGAGAAGAAGAAGCGTCGCAGGGGATTCAAATGTACCAGCATCACCAATGTCTTGCCACTGTCAGGTGACAGCTCCTTGAGTGCGGCGAGGGCGTCCTCGGCGATGGGCATGGCCAGGGTCTTGCTAAGGTGGATCTCCCTGGTTCCCGTACCGGTGCTGGCCTCCTGTTCGGCCTGCTTAACAGCGCCGAGGCTGCGCTCCTCCTCCGTTAACGGAGCCTCGAGCTCGGTATGAGCATCATGTTTAGCGAAACCTTTGGCAGACAGCTCCTCTGCCATGGTGGCAAAGATGGACTCGCGGAAGTGCTCGGAGCCTAGCTTTCGGACCAGGGTCAGGCGGGTAGACGCGAACAGCATCTTCTGGCGAACCTTGGCCGAGTCGGGGACATAGGTCACGGCTGTCAGGTGCGGAGCCGTATCATAGCGGCGGAGGAGGGCATAAAGGGCTTCGTTGGGCTGGAGGTGAGGCTGGAGGGAAGCGAGGTTGTCGTCGAAGGAGGAAGAGGACGATGCCTTGTCGAGGAATTGGACGGGCTTTAGGGTCTCGGCTTCAATGGTGATGAGAAGTCCAAAGTGGTTATCGGTGGACAGGAGAGTATTGAACTGGGAGATGAGCTCCTCGGAGGCTGCCGAACATTAGCTCTTTAGATCACGAGTAGTCTGTGGAGATGTGGGCATTGATTACACACCGGAGATGCCTGACTGCATCTTGGCGGTTGAGGACCAAGGTGCGTCTCGAAGCGTGCGTTGTAGGTTCTAGCAAAGGAAGAAAAGAAAAAAAAAAAAGCAGGTATAGTAGTATATATGCCCTAAACCTATGCAGGAGAGTTGTTTGCAGAAGCGGTCGCGTTGAGAAGCGGAGTATGCGGTGGTGCGGTGGTGCGTGGTGAGGTGGTGTCTGAAGCTCGAGATGCGGCGCCGCTACGTCAGCTGGCGGGTGGATCCAGTGGACGGAGACGGCGGTTATGGAGGGGTAGGAACAGTTGCTGGGGTGCTGGGACACTGGAAGCTGCCACTCTGGCGGGCCTCCGCCATTCCATTGGTCTGCCTTATGTCAGCCCCCCGATTAGATAGATCTATCGCTATCTTATCTCATCTTATCGCTTTGCCTACCTTACCTACCTAAGGTACCTTAGATAGGCACCTTGGTACCTTACCTCATGGCACCCTAGGTAAAGTACCCAAGGTACCTTACTTTACTCTCCCAGCATCAGAATAATTCAGCAAGACAACAAAAGGTAACATCACATACGACTTGTGTTCAATTCATGCCTCTTTTCATACTACATTGAATTCAACACTCAGCCATGGCTACATTCAGGCGATGCGACTCCAATAGACACATCCCAGGTACGCAGCCGTTATGCCGATGGCACACGGCACAATCGCCCGGGCAGCCTGGAGCCAAGCTGCTCGGCGTATGACTCTGTCCGTCTCGGTATGGGAGGCCTTGTCGTTGACTCTCGGGAATGCTTTGTCTTTGGGCACGTTTTTCTCAAGAAACTTGCAAAGAGGCTCCCATCCATCCTCGCCGACGCGATACACCAAGAGCCTTTCAGGTGCCACATGAGCCTTGACGCGCTCTGAATGCTCTCGGAAGACGTCCGGCGCTCGACGATGCAGCTCCTCGATTGTGCGAGCACCGCCAAAGAAACCGCTGATAGTCTTCTGCATGGCGAAGCCAGCCCTGTTACCAATCACCATGCCCACACCCTTGAGAAACACGTCGACCCACGGCCCAAATAGCGGTTGGATAACTTGGCTATCGAAGCTTGGAAACCACTTGTCAAAGTCGCGTTCCGTGAGAATGATCTTGGCGTCGGGGTAGGCATCGATCAGCTGCAGTGCCCAGAAAGAAGACAGGTCGGTCACCGCGTCGTACGGCCCGAAGAGTTCATCCCAGTCTTTTCGAGTGAAGGGCGTAGGAGGAGGTGTCTGGCCTCTTGCGTTCACTTCAGGCCAAGTCGCAATGGCGGCTCGCTCGAAGAATGCCCAGTGCGTCGGCTTCGTCCGGGAATCTAGACCGTGAAAGACGTGCTTGAAGCCCAGCTCAGAGAGGGCGGCCGCGAGAGAGTTTGTGCCTGTGCGAAGCATGCCAACGGCCAAGACCTTGGGAGGCCCAGCATCTCGAGATTTCTCCTCGGAGGTGGCCATGGAAATGTTTGCTTGACTTGGCACGAGCAAGCAGGATCAATAACTTCGCACTCCACGTCAAGAATTCACGATCCTCTTGATTGCAGCTGATTTTCTTGAGCTGCATATAAGATAGGGCAGACCGTCGAGCTTATAAGTTGCCGCCAAGCCATCTTCCCTCGTCAGCACTAAGGGCGCCACAGAGCCTTCGTATGGTGAGAGCGACAAGACCCACCACCGCACACCACTTCAAAACTCAAGGCAGCATTTCAACTGATTCGGCATCCTGATTGTGCTTCAGCGTCTGTCCTCCTACTCGATGGACCGCTGCGTCATCTTCCTGATATTTTCATATCGAATCTCTTCGATAGGGATGCTTTTTCTAACATCAAGTGACCATCTGCTTTCTGCTGCGCATAAGTAACTCACGGTACTTCTCCAAGCTCTTTCCGATGATGTTGATGAAGGGCCATTGCGTGTTGCTTTTGAAAAAGTGTGCCCATATTCTCAGAACCGCGAGGCTCAGTGAGGCAGGATCTCGATCTACTGATGTTTCGGGCTCATCGTCTTCAAAATCGACGACATCGTACGCCTCTTCCACAATGCATCGAACCCAATGCAAGATCCGATCCTCGCTGTCTGTTACTCTTCTGTCAGTCTGGGGATGCCGAGAGACAGTCATGAAAAAGCACGGATCAGCTTACCACTAAGAGGCGTTGTCGCGACGGATTCAGTGAGTGATGAGAGCCATTTACTGAGCAGAACCGCACACTCTAGCCCCGAAAGTGAGTGACGAACGCTCCAGAAGAATGCCTGGCTGCGCGCGACGCGGTCAACGCCAAGTCGTACAGGGATGCTGAGCATATGAGCAGTGTACAGCAGCGCGGTGATGACACCACCACTCCGCTCCACGGCAGGAGACCGGTTGATGGCCTTGGCGATACGCATAGGGTCTCGAGATTCAAGAAGCCGGTACGGACCAAGGTGAAGGTAGATGCGCACATAGGCGAGGCCGAGCAAAGAGCTGGACGTGAATGGGATGGGTCCATTCTCGTTGTTGGGGTCAAGACTAGATTCGGGAGCTTGCTGCCACCCTGCAGTCCAGGAACGCAGGCCTCGTCTTCATGAGAAAGTCAGTATCAAATCACGAACTGAGAGACATTGAGACTTAGAGGGACTTACTCAAGTTTATCAACCTCTTCAATGGGAAGAGACGCTGACTGATCCATGACTGGGAGAGACAAATCGCGGACAATGAAGATTCTCTGGAGAAGCCCATGCAAGAGGATGTAGTTACCCAGTGGTGTTGGAATGGGGTCGACGGGAGCGGTCCCGTCAGTGTTCCTCAATAGCAAAGAGAGAGCGTCTTGGAAGTAGAGTTGTTGCTTCTCAGTTTCTTGGCGAGCAGTCTGCCACTGACTCGCCGACTGCGCTTTCCACTCTCCAGTCGAGCAAGGGAGTCGGAGGCCAACCTCGTTGCTACGCAGCACAGGATACACGTTATAGGCAATGCTGTGAGTGTGCATGAAGGAAAAGGCAATGAGCTTGGCTCGGCGCGTAGACTCCTGTCGCACCCATGCTTGCCAGGCGGCTTGCGGGGTGGCCTGATCGGCAGGAAGTTGAGGGACATCTTCTTCACAAAGACCAACTTTCCGAAGGATCTGTGCCAGAAGTGCCTGTAGAGCAAACGCTTCCTGCACGAGGGACACTTTGGGCTCCCAAGTTGCGTAACCCATGAGAGCAATCAGGGCTCGAACTGTTTCTATTGGTTCCCAAGGACCCCAGTCCCTCTCCCTAAATCCTTGCGAGGTGCGGCGTTGCGGCGTCAGGTTGTGAAGATTGAGGGACGAACCGGTATTCACACCAAACGTTTCCGACTCGTGCATTAATCTCTCCATAAGAATGGCCTTGCCCGCGTGAAAGAGTCTCTCGGACATTCGATGCTCGAAGCAATACTGGGCGCCGACTGCAGCGAGGCCAAGAATGAGTTCAATGGAATGTTCAGGGACTCGCCACGTTGGCGTGTGGATGAACGGCATGTGCGAGTGAAATCCTTCAAAGAATGAGGTCAGATAGCGCGACAAGGCATGCCGTGATGGGAACTTGAAGTCTGGATCGAGAATGTCTCGAAATGTTTCGACGGAGCTACTGAGACGATACCGCTGCTCGTCTGATATACGATACGGTTGCGAATCAATGTCAACAGACCGTGGGTCTTGTTACTACGTCAGCTAAGATGGCTTTGGACAACACGCGAGCCTTTGATCAAGACTTACTCGTATCTGGCAAGGTTTCAGATATCCGATTGCCAGTGGGCGCTGATGGTAGCCATGAACTGAAAGGCGTTCCCGGCCGAGTTCTACTGTTACGTGCCCCCGGCGTAGCAGTCCCTTCTCTAGACATTCTCACCGTTGTGTCGGTAACCTCGTGATCTCTGTCAGGGCCGTGGAAGTAGGGGCTCCATTCCGCTGGCAGCCCAACACCATCGAGGAAGTTGGCAAACTCTCTGAAGTGGGCGTCAAATCCCGCAGCATCTTGATTACCTGATACTTTTGCATCAGCTTCCAAAAGTCAGAAAAGCGGACTCGGGCCATCGACTGACCATTAACATAGAATTGATCTCCGAGCAGAGCCTGTTGATATGAGGCATCTACGAGAGCTTCGTTCCGTGGGACCGCCATGGGATACAGTTCTGACGGTGGTGCAGGTGGCTGTTGCTGTGCCCAATGGTCCACGCTCATTCCCGAGAGGGAGACGGCAGCAGCCAGATCAGCCTCAACAGGCCCATGGGTTTCTCCCGAGTCCGGCTCCGATGGGACACCCGGGGACTCGGATCCATCCTCGTGGAAAGCAATTCGCTGGTGGCGGGTCAGCAAGTCACGCCGGGCAAAGGCAGCTCCACATCGACAGATGAATGGCTTCTCCTTGGTATCTGGAAGAACGTGCCGGTTAGCATCATAGCACGTGGCACTATCCCGAGCGTCTGGTCTTGAAATGAGCTAGCAGTGTAGCGCCAGCAGGAGGGGTAGCTGATTGTTGACTCCAGACAAAGATCACCCCAACACTTGGAGGAAGCTGAGGGAGGGGGCACATGAGAACGGATGGGACGACTGACGCGTTCGCACATGGCGCTCCAAGTGCTCGGTGCGCTTAAATGTTCGTCCACAGTGAGGACAGGACCGCGCATCAGGGCCGTGACCGGTTCGCCTCCTTCGCTTGACTGGAGTCGAGTGCGGTCGCGGAAGTTGCTGCTGCGGCTGCTGCTGGTGAAGCGGCTGCGATTGCGGCTGCGGGTGTGGTTGTGGATGCAAGCTCGTGCCGTTGTGGGACAGCATCCTTTCCACCTTCGCCTCGCGAGACTCTTCGGGCCTCTTGCGTGTTGGAGTTGAGGAAGACCGGGTAAGTTGGAGAGCAGAGGCTTTGGGGCATCCGCCTGGCTTATGTTGGAGAAGACTTCGGCTTCTTGTGGGTCTTGGTCGACAGAGATAACTCCAACTGCCGTGGATTGGATCGTCCGCTATCTTTGGAGACTGACTCGTAATCAGACACCCCCTTGGCTCCCTACGACCCTGCGACCCTGCAGCCCAACGCCCTTATCTCACGGAATTAGCCTTTGGAGTCTATTGTCGAGGGTGTTAATGATCATCCTCCGCGCCTGAGACAAACAGGCCGGCATTCCCTGCTTTTCTCCGTAGTCGTCACTGTGACATTGAGTTATTCGGAAGTTGTCGGCTCTCCCCGCGGTATCCACCAGATACATGTATGTGGACTAAGAGACATTGGTCTGATCCGAATGCCATTCCAACAATTGAGATTGCTTACAATCTTACACCTATAAGCAGAGTACATCTGACTTTGGAGTTACTACATCGGACCTACTCATCTCCGGACACAGCTGCCAAACTCTCGTCATGTTCATATTTCCCGGAGTTGCTCTCATTACTGGCGCAGGAGGGACTGGTGAGTTACAACTCCAATGGCGCCATGAAGCTGCAGGTCGCACCTTCAAGCTCTAATCGGATCTCTCAGGCATCGGCGCTGCAGTCGCAAAAGGGTTCGCGAGATCAGGATGTTCAAGAATTGCCATCACAGACCTCAATAAAAAGTCACTCGCAGATACGAAAGATGCCATTCTACATATCAATCCAGAGGTACAGGTCTTTAGCCAAGAAGGCGACATCTCGAATGAAGGTTTTGTCAATTCATTCGTTGGCGGAATTGCCAACAAGTTCTCGCGCATCGACTACTCAGTAAGCTGCGCCGGTATACTAGGCCAGTCATTGCGGTCACACGAAACGTCAACAGCCGATTTCGATCTCATTACCAATGTCAACTACAGGGGTAGTTGGTTGGCATCTCGGGCGGTCTTGAGCCATATGCTCAAACAGCAACCCCATGAAGAGCATCCAGAACAACGCGGCGCCGTCGTCAACATCGCGAGTCAACTCGGCATTGTGGCTCGACCGGCTGCAGGTACGTCGAGCCACCTCTCTCAGTAGCAGTTTTTGTCGCATGATTGCTCACACAATACACTCGCGTCAGCACCGTACTGCGCGTCCAAAGCCGCAATCATCAACATGACGAGGTCAGATGCCATTGACTATTCGCAAGACAATATCAGAGTCAACTGCGTCTGCCCGGGAGTCATCGCCACGCCAATGACAACAGCGTCAGAAGAGTTGGTACAACGACTGAGGCCCGCAATCGACATTGCGCCGATGAAGCGTATGGGGACACCCGAGGAGGTGGCTAATGCAGTGTTGTTCTTGTGCTCGAGCCAAGCCAGCTTTGTCCAAGGCCATGCTCTGGTCGTCGACGGAGGCTACACCATCAACTGAAAATTGATAATGACAACTCAAATCTCATCGAGTACGGTCTCGCCCGCACTACTTCGTGGTAACACTTTCCACAATCGGATCTATGAAGTGCTGATAGGACCTTCTCCTATTTGAACAGTCGAGGCTCAAACCCGGACACAGAGGAAGCCGCTTAGCCGGCAAAGCCGACACATGTTGGATTTCATACCAAAGTGTTGAGTTTTGTAACGATCTGAGTTCCCTTGCCAGCACGCTACCCAGTCATCCTACCATTCACGACAAGATTCTCAGACTGTAGATAGGTCTGGCCCTTGGAATCTCGCCTCACAACCTGTATCGTCCGATGAGACACACCTTGATCATCCATCTGCAAACTGTCAGGTCTCATTTGAGATTCCGTCCACAAGTCCGTCACCCTCATCTCCCCGGGAGGCTGCACAAACGATGGAGAAGACATAGGCCGCCCCTTTGTATCCAATTTGATGTCGTGCTCGAGCTCAATGATTTTCCTTGCAGCCGCAACTAGGACGTCTGCTTCCCACAGATTTTCCCGCGGGAGACCCAGCACTGGCATTAGCCGTAAGAATTCTAGTCGCGTTTCTAATTCACGACAAGATGAGACGAGAAAGAACAGCATGGCGCCAAAGCCAGCCTCGAAGATGAAGTGTGGATGTTTTGAAGTGTTGAAACGTAAAGGATCTGGGACCTCGGCTTCCAGCCAGAGGAGCCGCTTTAGAATCCTCCGGAAGTTGGTGATGTATCTATCATAGCCGGCTTCGCTTGTATCGAATGCCATGTTGAGCCATATGCAACAGCACTCATAACGAGTCAAGAGAAAGCATTGCAGCATCTTGGGCCGATCCGAGTCTGACCTGCTGTTTTGAATGCTTTGTGTAGGTGCTTCCTTGGGTTTGATGGCCATGAAGTCGTTGTAGAGCTTGAACCACTGTTCTAGGAGAGCGTTGATGGCGGCATGCTCAGAGAGAAGACTCGAGGGCGGTGTCCCCGTTTCATCGGGTCCAGGTGATTTTGAAGCGGCTCGTTGCGAATTGCGCTGGGAGCGCATGAACTCTGCTGTTCGATTAAAGAGGACATCGAGCATCAGCTGTGCGTCTGAGAATGTGAGGAAGAATTGTGGCATTGGCCCCTCTAGAGCCCTTATGTCAGGGAAATCCGACTCTTCTTCACCGAAGAAGAGAGCGAACTCGCTAAGCCGCCGGAATATCGGTAGGAGGTGCTCCATGGTCCACGAGAACATGTAGTCGGGAGAGATGCTCTTCAATATCTCGACACCATGCCTGCTGTGCTGCAGTGCTGCTTTCCTGTTGGCGCCCATGATCTCTACGCAGATGAAGAGAACGCAAACAAGTAAGATTATGGGCTGCTTTTCTTGAGAGTCCATGACCCTCAACTCGTGAATAGCGGCATTGTAGTGGTGTAGGGCCAAATTTTGATTGCTGTGCCGTACGGTGGCAGTAGCCTCAAAATTTTCCTGAGCCTCTTCATAGAGACTGCTGATGGAAATGACGGCGTGTCTGACGGCCGGCTCGAAGTTACTGAACTGCATGACGACGTGTGTCCAGAAATACGGATCCACGGCTCCTGACATGACTGGTCCCGCTATCTCACAAAAGTACTGTAAAGCTCGACCTTCGCTGACCTTGGTGACTCCCGGGAAGACTTGATTTGGCTGGTGTAGGGATATGGTTCCTTGACGAGCGGGTCTGTAGCCATCGCAGCGCCTGCCTGTACTGGTGCAGCGATTGCATATCGGCTTAGCCTCGTCGCACTTGACTTTGCGGGCTCTAAAGACCATCAATTAGGTGCTGATCAGATGGAGATATATGGACCCCGTAAGTGCGGCACAGCCTGGATCGCTCACAGCCTGACACGCCTAGTAGACTTACTTGCAGGTGATGCATCCAGTCCGAACTTTGGGGCTTCCTTTGCGGACCATGTTTCTGTCTCGGATGTGTGCTCAAGGTGGCAGGCTTTAACCCTCTGTTTCCTGACGCAGTAAGCCGCCAGGAGCAGCTTTGGGAAGGGTGTTGGGCTGTGCTTGTCCACTCGTCAGCTGGGAGAATTTGGCGACTGTTCGGCGGTGGAGATGGAATGAAGTGAATTATTCCGGAAGCGCTCACTCAGACGATGGCCGGGCGGAGAGCTCTCTGTGTGACCAAACATATCCCGTTTGCTGGGGTTCTGGTGGGGAGACAGGGATAGAAGCGAGCCGACCAATGTCAGTCTTGCGTTTGATCAGTACTTGTATCTCTAACATTAGCGAAGCACAGCATGAGCCCTCTCGCCGCGGTGGCCGAGCGGCGAGGGTGTCTTCGGTTGCTACCGTACGGGTAGTACCGCGGTGGTGCGGGGAAGTAAAATTGAGATGTTCTGACGGGCATACCGAGCCGGTCTCTCCTTTGTTGGGAAAAATTGAGCCGCAAGCGTTCATTCCCAGAAGTGCTTGACTGAGCTCTGTGTATCAAATGCGGAACTGCTGGAGAACTAGGCGACACGTGGCGGGCCAAGCACACAACCGTGGTCAAAGAGCGAGTGAGAGTGTGTGTATGTGTGTATCACTGTGTGTGTATGGCATAGAAGTAGGCAATTAAGTCCTTGAGATCGAGGCATGGGGTGATATGGCGTGAGAATTCCCGACGACGTACTTCTATTTCATGATAGATACCTTGAGACTATAAAAACTAAACCTCTCGCGTCGTAAGGTAGACTCCAAACCTAGATGGCACTTTGAATGTGGCTCTTTTGGCCTGTTCTCGTGAGGGTCTCACACGGCCAACTTCACGCGCTTAAGACTTGGTGAAGTCGTGCCGTTCACCTCAGGCATCGTCCTGCCATTGAGTTTGCCATTCGAGCCCGTTGTTAGAGTCTCAGGAATAGGTTCAGGAGCTTCGGCGATGCTCGTGGCGCTCTTCCAGTCAAAGTTTGTCTCCCATGCATGTGCAATGGTGAGGATCTTCTTCTCTTGCCATAGCCCTCCGACAATTTGCATACCTACAGGAAGTAAGACCTGGGCGTCATCTTTTGCGGCGACAAATCCGACGGGTATTGACATTGCTGGATGTCCAGTAACGTTGAATACGGCGGTGTTGGTGGTCAATCCTATGGTGGGTTCAAATGAACCCAACACGGAGTCTCGAGGCCCATGTCGTGGTGCCACAAAAGGGGTCGTTGGCATGATTATTGCATCGTACGTTTGGAATTTGCTCTGGTAGGCGTCGCTGATCTGCCGACCGATGTTGACTGTTTTGCTGTAGAGACCCGGGAACTTGTCTGAGAGATACAAGCCGTTGATAAAGGTGTTCTTTGTGGAGGGGAAAAGCTTTTGAAAGCTCGAGTCAGCCCAGGGCAGCCGTGCCTTTTCAAACTCAGTCAGGCCAAGACCTCTATGTCCCGAAGCTCTCCCCAGAATACCCGAAGAGCCCGCAATACGTTGTTGTATCGTCCATATTGAAGGGCCTTCCAGATGGAGAGGGACGGATACAGGCTCGACGATTGCCCCCAGAGACTCCAGTTTCCGGGCTGCCGAAAGGACGTGTTCTCTGACTTTGGGGTCAACAATCTCTTGGTCAAAGCCCTCCCTCAAAAGACCAATCTTCATTCCGTCCAAACGACCGGAACTCCCTGACAGAGCACCCGAGAAGTTGTAGGAGCCGTGAGCCGCAGCGCCTAGAGATTTATCGTCGATGCCGTCGTATCCGGAGATCACATCGAGACACCCGGCAGCTTCTGTCACCGAGCGGCAAATGGGCCCTGCATGGTCATCAATAGCATCGCCGCTTGTTATCCCCGTGAAAGGCACCAACCCATGAGTTGGCTTCACACCGACGCAGCCGCAAAATGAAGCTGGAACCCGGATACTGCCGCCTTGATCTGTGCCTAGCGCGATATCGATCTTTCCGGAACAAACAAGGGCGGCGCCCCCGGAGGTACTGCCACCGGTGGAGTAGCCTTCTTTGTAGGGATTCTCGATTGTGCCCTGCGCGCTGGTGAAAGATGCTGTGGAGTTGCAAAAGTGCTCACACGTGGCAGTCCCCATAATGTCGGCTCCGGCATCCAGCACTCGTGTCACCACCGTTGCATCCGTCGATGGCGTCCAAGGAGGAAAAGCATCGCTGCCGAAGAATTGCGGAACGCCTGCTACGGCAATGCAATCCTTCAAGCATACAGTCTTTCCTTTCAGGCATACCCGAGACGGGCCAGGAGCTGACTTGTCTCCCCTGATCAAGAACCGATGTGCCCAAGCGTGCCCAAACTCTTGCTCTTCTGCCGTGGGAATGTGTACATTCTCTCGAGGATATCGTTTCGTGTCGGGGACCGGCTGGTAGTCCGGAAGGCTGTCGATACGGGTAGCGCAATCGTGAACCGCAGCAAGTAGTCTCTGGTAGTCGGCCGACTCCTCGGTCTTGATCGTCAAACCGAGCGGCTCGAGCAGCTTCTCGACGTCGCCTTTCTGAACGGGATTGTCCCTGTGGCGTATTTGTCAGCATTCAGACCACATCAGGTAGGCTTGGATTGGTCCTCACGTGGAGATGTCCTTGAAGAAAACAGACATGATGGGAGGTGGCAATCGTCAATCGTGTGCTGTGGGATTGCTGGTCATCGATGCGTTTCAATGGACTGTGGTAAGGACCGACTAGCCAGCATGCTGTTCATAAAGGCTCGAGAGTGACATCCATGCTGAACCCACGAGAAATTGTCGGGGGTTCTTCCGCGGGCCATTGGGTCAATCTGTGGCGAAGGCGGGTTTCCAATGACAAACAGATTGAAGTCGACATTAACGAACGCGATGGCAATATCCGTAGAGTGCCCCCGCTGCTCTGTGCCTCCAAGCCCCAGTAGTCGAACCTACTGTGGTGCGAGAGATTGTGGAGGGAGGGGCGTAAGAGCATTGGGGTAATTCGAAGAGGGCGAAGAGAATTTGGAGACAATATTTAACGACCCCAACTCCACAGCTACTGAATGCGGATAATCCTGCAACGAGCGCTGGCGCATATCACTGTCCACAAGGCCACTAAAAGAAAGATAAAATTGGGGTAAAATAGAGAGTGAATGTAGCTCTGAAACTCCATCACCATGAATCAAGTTAATTTACCGGCCGCTAAGATAGGGAGAGTGCCTTATCTCACGTTGTTGTCACTCTCGTACTGACTATGACTACCTAGATTGTGGTAGGGCGCATGTTATCTTTTCGAATAAGCAGGGAAACACTAAGCGTAAGGTAATTAACACACAAAATCTTAAGATCACATTTGATATTGCTAACCTCCTCAGTTGATGGAGTATCCTTACTCTGCTAGGCGCACCACAAGTCTGCCTTTGAATCCACTATCCTGATAAACCGCGACAATGCCCGGGATCTCGTCGAACGACATCAGAGTGATGTGAGACCTAATGCTGGCCCTCTCCACAGCCTCCATCATCCTTTCGGTAGACTCTCTACTCGCAACATAACTTCCCCGAATCGTGAGCTCTTTGAAAACGATGACACTAGAGTCGAACCTCCAATTCTCAGCAGGTAAGCCCAAGACTCCCATGACGCCTCCAATGCGTAGGAGCGTCAATGCCCAACTGTTGGCTGCCAGGGAGTCTGTGCAAACCACAACTGCGGCTACTCCCTCTCCGTTGGTAAAGTCCATGATTTGAGAGGTCGCATGCTCCGAGACAGAGTCCACCACCAGTGCCGGCCTCAGACTCTCATTGAACATCTCGGTAGCGAGCTGCCTCCCTGCTGGTCGACTGTCGACCGCTATGGTGCGAAAACCCATGGCGGTGGCAAACTGTAAACCGAGATGACCCAACCCCCCGATGCCGACGATAGCCACAGTGTCTCCTGCTTCCAGTTCACGTGTTGCCTTTTCTAGTGAGCCCCAAACTGTAGCACCTGCACACATCAATGGTGCCGCTTGTTCGAAAGACAGGGATGGCGGTAAGCTGACGGTGGTCTCCGGATCTATGGCAAGATACTCGGCAAATGCCCCATCATGATGAAAGCCAGCGGTTTGTCGCTTTTCGCAAAATCTTGGGTCCAGACTTTGCTTCTTGCTAGTACGAAGTGACAGACGGCAGCCACTACATTTGCCGCATGAATTTTTGTAGTTGAGAGCCCCAACTCTATCACCGACCTTCCAGTTCTGACCGCAGTCTTTACCGACCCGAACCACGATGCCGGCAGGTTCGTGAGATGCGATCATGCCTAACGGTGAGTCAAATTGCCCTTGCAAAACTTGTAGATCCGAGTGGCAGAATCCGGCCGCACGAACTCTGATAAGGAGTTCATTGTCGCGAATGGACGGGGTTGCTCTCTCCACTAGCTCGTATGGTTTGTTGTACTGAGGCGTAAATTAGCATTTCCCGAACTGTCTCCTGGAGTATAGAGCATCATGAAGACTGACTTCCGTTATCTGGGCTGCTCGCATCAGTGGAGGAATTGCGATATTTCCCATGATTCCCTCAGGAAGAGCAGTTGAGTCTGCCAAGGCCCCAGAACACACACTGAGGCGCTGAGAGCATTTGCTGTTCTTGATTTTTACTCTTTACGCAAGAGGAGAGCGTTAAGCTCAAGTATGGAGTTGGATCAGGACCTTGAACGATGGATGGCTATTTCGGGTTCTATGCTAGATGTGCTTGTTCTACTGGTGGCCAAGTTTCTGAGGGGTTCAAGCTGGAGAGTTGTCGATGGTTGTTGGCCGTTATCATCCGACTCAAAGAGGGGTTAAGTCGAATGGTTGGAGCAACTTTTGCGCCTCCTAGGTTGCCTCCAAATTTGTCGACCATACCACCCATCGCCCTCTACATGAATAAACTCTTTGTCTCCAACTGGACCGCGGGTCCGGAAGCCCACGACCTGATGGAGCTCTCCACCCTTTTCGGGCAATACCCCTCCTTCTTCAATACCACAGCTCCGGACTGAATGCAAGTGATCGGTGAAATGATGTGGATGGAGAGGCTAAATGCCCGATGGTTGCCGTCCAATCAAAACTATCACAAAAAACATCTACCCAGGCCGAGATCCCTGTTTTGGGTCCTTACCTTCATATGAGGTCAATCCACACAAGCTACCCCGCGATAAGCGAGCCAAGGCTTGCGAAGGCATTGCAGAATTGATAGCATAATGAATTCCGATAAGATGATGAATACCCCTCAGTGACATGGCTGACTGAGCCGCTGCTAGGTTAACTGCTTAAGAGGAATCAACTCGCAGCGCAGCAACCTTTTTCTCTCTGCGTTTGCCCGAACCCCGCACGAGTCTCGAGCAACCGATTTGAGATTATTCCACCGTTTGAGAGCATCACCCCTCCCTGCAATCGCAAATCAGAATGGGCAAGAAGCGTGTTCTTGTTAGCTATGGCGTCGACGTCGATGCGGTCGCAGGCTGGCTAGGATCCTACGGAGGAGAAGACTCATCCAACGATATCAGCAGAGGTAAGTGACGGAATCTAAGGTAATTGGGTATTCGTGGTATACTTGAGCTTACGATCGCGCAATCCAGGTTATTTTGCTGGAACGATAGGTGTTCAACGGGTGCTCAGACTCCTCGCCAAGTACGACATCAAGGCTACATGGTTCATCCCAGGACACAGCCTTGAGACCTTCCCCGAGGACATGGCCGCTGTTCGAGACGCGGGCCACGAAATCGGCTTACATGGCTACTCGCATGAAAATCCGACAGATATGACCATCGATCAACAAAGGGAAATTCTTGATAAGACATATCGCATGCTCACAGACTTCGCGGGCAAGCCACCAAGAGGTAGCGTCGCGCCATGGTGGGAAACAAGCAAGGAGGGGGCCCAGCTTTTGCTCGACTATGGCATTGAATACGACCACAGTATGAGCCATCACGATTGCCAACCGTATTATCTACGAACTGGCGATGAATGGACCAAGATTGATTACAAAAAGAAGCCTAGCGATTGGATGAAGCCCCTTGTGAGGGGACAAGAAACAGGGCTCGTGGAGATACCAGCCAACTGGTACCTCGACGATTTGCCGCCAATGATGTTTATCAAAGATGCGCCCAACAGCCATGGTTTTGTCAACGCCAGGGATGTGGAGGACATTTGGCGAGATCATTTCGACTACTTCTACCGCGAGTACGATGAGTTCATCTTTCCGCTGACAGTCCACCCGGACGTGTCTGGTCGTCCTCACGCATTGCTCATGCACGAAAGACTCATCGAACACATGAAGAAGCACGAGGGGGTGGAGTTCGTCACCATGGAGCAGATTTGCGACGAGTTCAAGACGAAGACGGCGCCGGCGCAGGGAGCTGTGATGCCTGCGGAGCCTGGCGCCATGCTCAAGAAAGAAGCCATAGGAGCATAGATACCTTAGTTCAGTTTTGTAACGGAAGATTGATATCCGAATCTCAACGCTCAAGAGATTCCATGCCTACTCCATCTTACTTGCCTCCATATTCACATACCTGCCAAGCATTTGATCTCCATCCCAAAAGTTCTGCGTTAGGGACTGGAGAATTTCTGAGGTAAGTTGCTTATTACCCCACGATTCATCTCCGCGCCGGCGGTAGCCATGACTGTTCGAATAACCCGTGCAGCCAGAAGATTCCGGCGAACATCTCTACAGACCTGATTCTGCGTCTTACCTTACTGCAAAAACCTTGGAGTAACTCCCCGTTTGTTGAATCCCTTGACATGCATGCCTCCAAAGCTCGTCCACTGACCCCGCGCTTATCACTAATGATGCTCTGGTCATATCAGTGAGTGTGGAACTTTGGTTATGGGGTATATCTGCTTCCAAGCCCGAGGCTTTCTTGACTCCAACTTCGGCACATGGGCATGACAACTGCCCCAAGCCGTCACTTATACCCCAACCTTATCGCAGCAACCTTGTTTTGACCCACTGGCACTCCACAAACGCACATTCAACCCCTGAACGCACTTTTGACTTTGGGTGTCGCCATGGGTCGGCGACCCACGATCTTGGAGCGGCATCTGAAGCTCGTCGCGGGGTTGGACAGTCCTTCCTTTCGACAGCTATCTTGCGTCGGAACGCCTTTGCAGCTAGGAGATAAGCCACGCCAGGCTCTCATGTTCATCTCACTCGTCATAATCGATATCACCAAGTGCTCCAACTTCACTTGACAGAAACGATCTTATATTGAGGTGATGTCCGCGGCTCATCCGTCACATGGCACACCACGGAATCGGTAGAAAGCAATCACTCTAGCTGGCATCGGGATCAGTATCATCAAACGAGGCCGCTGTCGAAATGTCCCAGACCAATTCCGAAAAGAGCGACGCCATTACACCGGCGCCGGCCCGGAGCAGCGGTAGCATCGACGCGGGAAAGCTCGAGAATGCCGAAGATGCTTTTGAAGTCTTCAAGCGCGGCGAAGGGACGGTTGACTTCCGTACCGTGGGATGGATCCACGCCTCAGTAATCTTCTTGAAGGGTAAGGAAATCTTTTCATCGGGTAAGCAGAGGCGTAGCTAATAAATCCAAGTCATTTTCGCAACCGGTGTTCTCACGATTCCTTCAGCCATGTTTGTGTTGGGTGCACTGCCCGGCGCTATCAATGTTCTCGGTTGGCAGTTCCTCAACACGTATTGCGCCATTATCCAGGGTAATTTCCGCAACGCCCATGCTGGATGCCATTCCATCGCGGATATGGCCAACGTTGTTGGTGGTGTCTGGCTGAAGGAAGTTGTCGGGGTCTTGTTCCTCGTCACTTACGCAATCGTCGGTGCATCGGGCATTTTTGGCACATCAGTTGCCTTCAACACGCTCTCGAACCATGCCCTCTGTACCAACTATTTCATGTTGGTGGCCACTGCCTGTGTCTTTATTCTTGCAAGTGCTCGAAAATTTGAAAAGATTGCATGGTTGACATGGGCTGGCTTTTTGTCAGTGTATATCGCCGTTTTTATCGTGGTGTAAGTTCACTTCATTTCAACCCACACCAGATTTCTCGAGTGTATCGATCTTGTCGTCTGCCATGCGCTTCAACAACCTCTTGGATTTCACTAACATGTATCATAGTGTTGCCGTTACGCAAGTCGACAGACCTGCCGCTGCCCCAAAGACCGGTGATTTCGACCTGGGTTACCATGTCATCGGAAACCCAAACTTCGTGACCGCAATCACCAGTGTTGCAACCATCTTCTGCTCTGGTGCAGGAACATCGGCGTTCCTCCCCGTCATCTCGGAAATGAAGAAGCCCAAGGACTACAATAAAGCTGTGTACCTTTGCATGGGTATTGTGACAGCCTCCTACCTGACCTTCTCACTCGTTGTCTATCGCTGGTGCGGCCAGTGGGTTGCCTCTCCTTCACTGGGCAGTGCTGGAGAGACCGTCAAGAAAGTCTCGTACGGTATTGGCTTGATCGGTCTGATGGTCAGCGCCTGTCTCTACATCCATGTCGCCGCCAAGTACTTGTTTGTCAGGATCCTGCGAGATTCTGTTCATTTACAGAAGAACTCGGTCGTTCACTGGTCTGTTTGGCTTGCCTGCACCCTCGGAATGTCCGTGGTCTCATTTCTCTTGGCATCTGGAATCCCCATCTTCAACTATTTATTGGCGCTAGCGGGAAGTTTGACTTTTGCACCTTTGGCACTTGGTCTTCCTGGTTACTTATGGATCTTCGACCACCAGCATTACAGACAGGGAAATTGGTGGCAAGCCATGGTCTACTGGCTGAACTGGCTCATGATTCTGCTTGCCGTTTTCCTGACTATTGGTGGTACTTATGGAGTCGTTCAAAACATCATTGACGCCTATGCCGACGGTTTGATTGGGGGTGCCTTCTCATGTGTAGACAACAGTGGCTCATCATGAACGGTCGGAAGAACTAGGAGCAGCCACGGATATTTGATAGAGATGGGAGTGATCGTTCTTGTTCTTCTGGATATTCATCAACTTGGTCAGGCCTAAGAGAATTATAATGTTATTCGTTGTTATCTGGCGTCAAATTTGACTCGCTCCAACGAGGCTAGCGTTATTCTGCCTAAGCAGAGATCTCAACGGAAACAGGGCAACAGATCCAGGTCACAATAAAAGTGCGAAAACCTTTCTAGATAGCTATATGAATCAAAATGCGATCAAAACAACAGATCAATTACTAAATACAAAATGACATAAAAGGTGTTTGAGTTACAACATGACCGCCATGCCTTGAGCACTTTTACCAACGCCGAGCTCTCCAAGTGCAAAATGTTGGACTTGTTTCTTGGCGACGGCGTCAACCACAGTAATTGCAGACTGTGTTGTTCCGTTTCCTGGACTCAACGCATACACAAAGCGTCCAGAAGCCCTCAGGTCAGTCAAGCCTGGATCACCATTGGCGCTGAGATCGAGGATGCCTTTGATGCTTGCATCATTTAGCGACATTTCGACCAACCTGTTAGTACCAACATCAGTAACAAATGCGCTGCCAGTTGCCGAAGAAACTGCGACCCAACAGGTTGCTTTCTGTCCGCTAATAACGCCCATACCCTTCACAGAAGCAGTACTTGTCTTCGAGTCAAAGGACAAAACCGCCCCACCAAAAGACGCATCAGTGACAAAGAGGTTGTTGCTCTTGGGAATCGTTGATGAACCAAACAAAACTGCAGTACCGTTGGGCGACGATTGCGGTCCACTCTGCTCAACTAAACCTTCGCTATTAACCTTGTACGCGCCAAGGAATCCTGTCTTGTTCTGAGACGGATCACCTTTGACCGTAGTAAACAGGTAACCCTGGTCGTTGGAGAAGAAGACTTGAGATATGGTGTTGGTCGGTCCAACGGGGGGAGTAGTCTGGCTAAGTCCAACGGGGCGAAGAGTATCCATGGATTCCAGTCCATATGTAGAAAATCTAGCGCAAGAGACTCCAGATTGTGCCCCGGAACAACCAACGCAGACAATATTGTGTTTCATTGATGCCGCTATCGTGTTCGGGAATTGGCCTGGAACGGAAACTGGTCGACCCATCATGGTGAGCCTCGTGGGATTCGACGGGTCGATTGTGAACATCGTGACCGTATTCGAGCCAGCATTGACGGCAAATAAGCTCTATAAGGCTGGCATCAGCATCAGAGCCAACCATCAAGAATGTGAACCGGCTTTATTACGTTGCCTGCAATAGTAAGTGCCGACTGAGATGCTAAAGCATCAGGAGCAGCTGGCTCGTTTGATGTGCCATCAAGAAAATTCGAGCCGGATCCGCCAGTTGAGAATGTTGCTCCCTTCGCAAGCATGCCATTACTGGATATCGGAATGGCAATTACAGAGTTGGCCTGATCGTTGGTGATGGTGTAGATAGCTTTTCCGGGCTGAGATCCAGCCTTACACCCCATCATTCTTCCTGAAACGATCGATATGGATGCAACAAAGCAACAGGAGAGAATGATATGTTGACGCATTTCGGAGACGAGGTAAGTACTTAGACGTGACTGATGATTGAGGCGAAAGATGGTAGGTCGTGAATGTTGGGAATTACCAAAACATGTGGGTATAGAATATTGTTTCTGTGGAAATGGACGAGTTGAGTAGATTCTTAATAGTTTCGACGGAAGACAAAGGAAATACTACCAATATATAATTTGAGATTTTTAAGGGCAAACAAGCATTCGGTATTCGATCTAGTCGCTCCTGCTTCCAATCTTTGGGTGTGGTTATTGCGCATTTCGCAGGGCAACATGATGCGGTAATCCCCATTTCCTCTTCAGGAAGAGTTGATGACAGTTTCACAAAATGTGTGCATCCAAACGTCCATTAACGTCTCGAAATTCGCATCGCGAAAGCGCTTCAAGTAGCATGTACCAGGGGTGTCGGCAACCAGGTCTCCTACCAGTGTCCTTTCACCCTGACTTTGCTCGTCCATTATTACACTTGCTTCGGTCAATGTCAGTGGATTCCACAACACTGACAGGAAGCCACTACTTTAGATGAAGCGGCTGATTCCACATCGCCTGCACCCACTAAATAAGGTTATCGAAACGCTACAGCCTCCATGGAGCGCTCCTTTCGTCTGACATGCGGTAAGACCTAACCAGAAGAGGCAATTTTGATATCCTCATCGCGTCAAATGAAACAAGTGGACCATTTGATCTTCAGCCGAACATCCGAGACCGTCCTGAGATCTGAAACCGCCATCTGAGGTGAGGAAATATGATGTGCAGTCGCAGCTCACGGTCAGTTGATATCGTTGCATTTCGAGAATATCGAGAACTTGCAACCAGTGCTACACAACAACAAATCTCAACATCGAAGGACAAAAACGTTATTTTAAATTCGTACAACTCGTCTTCACTGTCCGTCAATCTTTCGAAACCATTCCACGCTTCGTGTTGTCCATTTGCATCAATATGAGCAGCAAGATATTCCGTATTTTCAACCCTGGAGGTTCGTCCATCGAATTGAGGCAGCACAGATATGCGCACGCATGTCGTGCAGCAGCTGTATGTGTATAACTTCATTGTTGTCCGGGATCTAAATCCATTACAGAGGCCAAGAAAGATCCAGTGGAGAAGCGGCGAGCACAACTCCGAAGTGCTCAACGGTATGGAAATGTATATTTGCCGGCGCTGAGGCGATATTCTGATCCTGAATATAGGTCATACCGTGATCGCAAGGACAAGTACACCAAGTCGCTCGAACAAGAGGTCGAAAGAGCCCAAAACAGAGAAACTGAGCTTATGATCCGATGCGAGCAAATGTATGCTGCTCTCGAATCATTAACAGAACTACTTTCTCGCCATGGAATCGGCGTTCCTGCTGCTTTCGTGGATAGCTTGATTAGCAAGAGTGACAGTGGAATGCATAGCTCGTTGCATTCTAGAACGGACGAAACCTTGACTGGAGTGGGAGTCATCGAATATTCGAAAGCTCCAGAGATAAAATCAAAAGATGGTCGGGCGGCTGATAGAAGCCCAGTCCACGCGAAACTCTATACGGCGGCTGACATTGTTGTCGATGACCTCCAAACGGCAACAGACGCCCTTTCGAGTCGCCAATACACCGAAAAGAAAGAGACGGACTTGCCGTGGTTGAAGATTAACACAGCGGTTACCATGTATGACTGTGAAGACAACCGAATGTGCGAGGTTGATTTAATCGCAGCAGGTATGGAGTTTGTTCTAAGGTGAGACCACGACCGTGCTACCATATATCGATCTCGTCTGAAGGTCACGTCTTCATAAGTTGCACACTCGCTGACTCCGTTCAAAGGCTCGAAAGACCTTGTCTTGAACATGTTCATGGTGACCCCAAGAAACCCGAGGACTCAACCGGTCACATTTTGACAGTATCGGCGCGAACTCTATCTTTACATACAGACCCATCACGGCCGAACGAGAAAGATTGTGTTGGTACTCCGTCGTACGAAGGCGCACCCCGGGATATCTTAGAACGGATCTTGGCTCTCTCTCCGCACGTTTGCTTCGACGGGGAGATGACGCCAGCTCAGGCGTGGAAATATATACGGAGCCAACCTCACTTTGGTGGCATCGAGTTGCGAAGATTATGGGCGCTTGCTGATAAATTAATGGAGGGCATCAAATGTCATGGGTGAGTCAAGCTCTTCACGGTAGGCTCCTTTCTCGGGCTAACAATGAAATCAGTTTTGGTGCTGTGATCGAGACCCAGAATTTCCAGACATTGGTATACGATGCTCTGCTGCTCGGGACGCAATTCTAAAAGGAGCTATTCTTAATTCAACAATGGCTAGCTCTAGAGTTTGGCAATATGATTGCCGATGTCCAAGGATTGTGTTGAACGATAACAGACTATGGAAGAGAAAACGACAAGAATGGTCCTTTTTCTTAAAACATAGCGAGTTCTTTCAGTGCCTATTCTATAATGGCGAAATTTCTGTATCATCATTCGCGTCTATTTGGAGAAAATCCCAAGTTGCCAAATCGCGAAAAAGGCTGGGCATACCGTAATCGAAGAAATCGTAAAAGGCCCTGTCAAAATGAGAGTAAGATAGCCCGTCAACGAACCAAGAACCAGCTTGGTTACCCGATTGTCCATCATTATCTGTGTAATTTTGCGGTAGAAAAACCTCACTAGGCTGCATCAAGCTCGAAACAGGTAATACTGAGTTTCCAGTCGTACCCTGATTTGGTCGCTGTAGGTTATTCAAATTGCTGATAGGATTCCTAGTGATGTTTTCGTGTTGATGTGTGTTGTCGCAAGTGCATGGGGCACCCTCTGTGGTTCGAATGGGAGGGGCGCCGGGCCTGGTAAAATGTTGCAAACGCCTCACTAATCTGGCTACTCCTTTCGCACTGGTCCAAAGTTGACTGAGGATAACGAGGTTGTCGTAACATGCTCCAAGATCTTTGTGCGCTTCATCTGGTGCTCGCTCGCCATCCCTGAGAGCGCGGTAGATCACCGTGGTAGACATTGACATAGCATAAGGTATAAGAGGAAGAGGCGGGAGATTCGCAGGTCCTTCAAGACAGACGATGCGTAGTACATTATCAGCAGAGGATAGACGTCGCTGATACTGGACGCTCTTCGGCCCGCTATAGCGACAGGAGAGCATCGCGGCAACGTGGTACCAAATCTGCAAGTACACTAAAAGACTACCATCAGAGAAATTCACAGCCTATTACTTCAGACTCCAGAGTTACTTACATCTGTGGGATTTCTGGAACCCATCCAGGCAAAGATTGGTGGTCAGCTCAGAGAATGTCGGAAATGCATCAGAGTCATCGTCCATTGCAGTTGAGCTAGCTTTATAGATTTTAGTTGCCGTTTTCATCAAATCTCCAAGAGAGAGAGATATGGCGATCAGCTGAGACCGGTAGTGATTCTTTCGAGGGGCAATGCGTTCAACCCCAATGTCTGTATCATCAATCATGAACGGAGCGGCGCCCATGACAGGCTTGTTCAACCGATCAAAATTTCGTAGTGTCCACCACAAAAAGTCGCAACGCTCTTGATCGGAATTTACGGGGATCTTTACGTGCAGTGATATTGCCCACGCTTCAGATATAGCCTGAGAAAGATACCCCGATGAGCGATCCAGTCCACCCAGGCCGTCGTTGTGTAGATGCATCAAGGCTAAAATTTGAATTTTGGTGATTCGGTCGGGCTCGAGATCTGCCTTGATAGAGGCATCAAGACCTTTGAGCAATTCAGAAGCAAAGTGTCTCTGATCCATGATTGCGCCATCTTCACGGATTCTCAGAAATGGGGCGGCCTGTCTAAATTTACAGGCAATGAGGGATACTGCTCTGAGGAGGAAAACTGATGCCTGCCCATTGCTGTAGTCCCGGAATATTGCAGCTCCATCTACCACTGGAATGAGATCATCTAAGAGCACGTTGTAAATTGACAGAAGGCTGTCAGTCGTCGACTTTGGTAATTCGAGAAAAGCACCCTCTTCTTCAAGATATCGTCGTTGGGCGTCTGAAATTTCAATCCGTCTGGACTTGAGACGGTGACGATCGTACCAATTGCGCTGGCGGAGAGATCTTTCCTTTAGGGAAATGCATTCTTCAGATGCAATTAAGTCTTTCTCCTGACGACGTGGATGTACTCGACAAGTGCCGGCCTTCTCTGCAAGTCTTGCCCCTGTCGAACCCATAGAAAGATCTGCCAAGACGGATTCTGGGTTGTACAGACTGACACGGCTCGGACTTGGACTCGAATTTCGAGTATTCGATGTATGATCAACTGGGTCTGTGATTGACCTATCGCCGCGTCTGGCAGCGTATGATCTTTCGGTGACACCGACATGATAACACCGTTTCTTTCGTGTGCGACAGCCTTGACAGGGTGAATGGCTTGAGTTAGTTGGAAGGGGTTCTACGGAGAGGACACGGACATGAGAAAGACAACATGGACTTATCTTGGGATGAGCGTTTAGCGTTCTGCTTCGCCGAGGCTTGCCAAACAATTTCCATGTTGGTAGTTGTTTTCCGATGCTCAGTCGGTTGCTGCCGGAACAGGTAAGATGGCAATCAAACTTGGCGAGAAAGACAAGAGCCTTCCCGGTTACTACGTGACATTACGCGTCTCCCTAGTTCCTTAGTTGCACAAGTGATGGAAACCTCTATTCCGACAGGTCGGGCGATGTTGCGGAGAAAAGTTGAAGTCTGGTGGAGTCTGATCGATGTCACCAGCTGAAATCAGCCCTGGAGGCAGCTCATCTCCACATCATCGTCACTTTGACCAATCAGCAAAGTCTTGAAATTGCAATCTCCACATCTCTTGGAGTTGCGAAAACGTGGGGAAATGTCCCCCCCTCACATTGAGCTCGGATTCTCGTCACTGCGTCACAGACTCCGACCTTGTTAAGTAAGGTGGTTCAATCAAAAGCCACCTTGTCCATGTGGGGTTTTCCGCACAACTTACAATAACTCTTCAGACCAGTCCTGGAGAAAGTCAAAGGAACACCTCACGAACAGCCCGCGCAAATCTGTTCTCCAGTCCGATGCCCCGGAAATCCTCGATAACAATGACGTTGTTTTTGTGGATGAACCCATCCTCGAAGAAGTTTCTGTCGGTGACCTGCAGCGTCTGCTCGCTTCAGAGCTTGGGTCCAAGAAGAGGACGTGATGCCTGTTGAGACGGACGACAGTAGTGGCAGTGACAGGCGCTACGTGCCACGAGGCGCAAGGCATGAGTTCTTTATCCTCGTTGACAACGTCTGTCTCCGCTCCTCGTTGACTCGTCTTATTTGCGGCTTCCTTAAATGATCCTACCTAGACATGTCGCGAATATCTCAAGATCTGGCACCAAGCTATGGGGACCGAACCATGCGATGAGTTGGGCGATTGGAATTTTCCATTGCTTTGAGAGGTAGCTACCGAGATACCTAGTTTCCCAAGGTTATTAAACGCAAAATGCTGCACGAAACCTCAATCACATCGACTGATTACTACACGTACTTAGACGGCATTAGGAATCGCGGCTCGAGTTGGCCTTTCATTTCGCACCTCTCAGGAATATTCATAAGGGAAATATGAGAAATTTTGGCCTTGAGTTCATTTTTGTAATCTACATTCCCCGGGTTCGGGTCCATTGATTTAAGCCCAAGGTGTTCACAAGAAATCTGTGTGTCATCATTTCATCTACAATAAAAAAGGGGCGCGTCTTGTGGCTCACCTTTGTAGGCATGATTACATACTGGAATGACTGATGGGCCGATAGACGCCTGTTGCGGAAAAAGAATTCGCCTATCTGTGGAGTCTCATTAGTGCTGGCAGTGTACGCGCCCCGTCAGCACACTCGCGTTTCTACGTTTTGCTTCCAACCTGGTCCGTTAACTTATTACAAATTACAACCTTCGATTTGATGTTTCAAAGAAGCGGCAAGTGAAATGGCCCAAAGCGTTCAATGGGGCAATGACTGAAGTAGCACGTCTATTGCATAACGACGTATGTTCGGTCCACCGTTCAAGCATGCATCATGGACCCAAACTGCGCATTCAGGCGGACTACACCCAACGCCTTGCAACGCCGGCCATATCGTTCAAAGAGGAATCGGCCGTGTATGCTCTGTCGTTCACGTAAGACCTCATGTCGCCGTGCGGAAAAAGACATAGCGTGCATAACGTGCCGCAAACGAGGTCAACGTTGCAGCTTTCTCGATGATCTCACTCAAGAGTCAGGAACCGCCTCTGTAACCGGGGGAAGCCCTAATGATGGCTATGGCTTGGATGACCTGGGGCAGGCCGGAGTCGACTTCGGCACTTCAACAGCCCTGCCAGAAGGTTTGGCCAGTGATGTTGTTCCGGGCTCCCTAGAGGACCAAGCGAACGACCGCTTCAGTCAATATTCCGTGGACGTGGACGCAATATACGGAGACTTCACCGATGAAAGGATCTGGAGCAGCCCTCCGCCGGATGAGACACAACCTGCGAGCACTACCGTTGGAGCTGGTCTGATGCCATTGGATGGAATCTCGCTTACGAATTCTCAAGTTCTTCATCATTAATCTAAGACACACGAGCAAGCAGCTCTGCTGCCAACATTAGAAGCCCTGTCGAAAGGCGCAAATTCCGCGCACGAGATCGGGGGTAGATTCTCGACAGAACCACACGCTGGTTGTGTACAGTAATCTTACCCGATCGATGCGACTTTCACCATCGACCAAAGACATGGGTTTCAAAGCGCGTACTTTGGTCTTTCGGAAGAGTCGGACCCTTATCTTCTCCGACACTACTTGTATGACGACGCAGATGAATTTCCTTTTCTTCGAGTAATATATCGAAGGGCACAGCCCTGGACCCCTGCCCATCGCGACCATTCTTCGGTTTTAGGACACCACAGCTCAACTCATGATGAAAACAATGTACCGGTACAGTTCCTTTTGACCTCAAATGAGCTGAGCGACGAGCTCAGGCGCCTCGGGCCTACCAATCATTCGTACGATCATGGGTTAGTAAGAAAGGAACTAAACAACTTGGTGAGTGAAGATGTTGGACAAAGGCTTGTTCTCTTGTAAGCATGCTCCATTTCCGACCAAACAACGTGAGCCTAACTGGACAGGTTCGTACAATACGTTTACCCAGCACTTCCCGTTATTTCTCGGTCACAAATAGTGACTGCCCTTGGTGGACATTTCAAGTCCTCATCCTCGGGACATGCTTCATTGCCAACCTATCTGCTAGCTGCCATATACGCTTCTGCGCTCCCTTTCACTGCATACGACGACATACTATGCGTCTCCAGTGTCTACAAGAAACCTCCCGTACAAAGACTATGGCAAATGGCCTATGACGGGGTCCAGACTACGCTGCATACCCCGCAACTAGCTACCATCTCAGGCGCATTACTGTACCTTCACAAGCCTCGAGTAGGAGTGCAGCATGTTTCCGCTGACACGTCTTTCGCATGGTCTATGATCACCTCTGTTGTTGGTTTAGCCACGAGCCTAGCGCTGCACTTGGACTGTAGTTCATGGTCAATACCGCCGTGGGAAAAGCGGTTGCGACGCCGCTTGTGGTGGATGACATTCTCCGAGGCGACGTGGAGAAGTCTCTTGTTGGGAAGGCCTGCTGTAATCGCGCCAGATCAGTGGAATGTGTCAGAGCTTACTTTTCTGGATTTTGAGGTTGAGGAACCACTTCTTCAGCTTGGCGATGACATGGAAACAAACCATTTCGCGGAAAAGCTGCGACATGCCATAAATGAGTCCGATAAGAGTATGGTATCACAGCGACTCGCAACCTTGACCATCATTGCCGACAATATTTACCGCTGTCTTTAGTAAGTCCTCTGAAACCCGTTGTTTGATGCTTTCATGCGCTGAGAGAAACCGCACAGCACGATACGGGCTACTGAGAGGCTCGCCGATGACCTTATTGGCTCTATCAGGGCCATCAAACCTCTCCGCGAAGAGCTCAAGCTGTGGTATGCCGGTCTTCCTCTCTATCTGAAGACACCGAGGTTGGATCCCGAGAGCGCCGCTCCTGCTGCACCAAGCTCGGCAGCCTGCCTCAAATTCGCTTACCTTACTCTCGAAATTCTGCTTTACCGAGCTTTGCTTCGGCCACTGGGAAATATCGATCTGGAAGATATTTCGAATGCCGTTCCACAGACAGAACACGTTCGCAGTGACTCGGATGCGAACATAACTGAACGAGAACCGGGCGAGGGCCTGCAAAACGAGATAGAGCTGATCATATGTGCTGCCGAAAACTGTGCGAGGATTGTCAGCACCTTCACGGTCGAACTGATGTCTTGGGACTTTGCTGGCTTCTGGTATGCTTGTAAGTGACGCTCATGTTTGTGAAGGAAGGACACAATTATGGGCACATGTCTAATTTGTGAACCAACCTAGGGTCTCGTATTGGCTGGGCGATAACCTCAAGCTTTCTGGCCTTACTCGTTGTCCAGTCACCGAGCGTGATGCACGCAAAGACGTGCAAGAATCTGATCGACAAGTGGCGGCAAATATTACGACACCAGTCCCAAAGCTTTGAGGACATGAGTCTTGGGATTCTTCGGTTGGATGCGATGTACTGGTCAAACATGAATAAGATCTTTAGGATCAACAGACATGTGGCACAGGTAATCAGAGAATCGACATGAAGTCGACTTTGCAGTGCAATATTCTCGCTATGCACTAAGTGGCTCTCCAAACGCCTGGACATCATCCCCACGGACAGAAGCAATCGACATCATCAGCATTCACAATACGAGCCCATCAAGGCTGGTACCCACCGTACAAATGCTGCTGAACATTGGCATCCTCGGCATGGCCGCTGAAAGGTTTCTACAAAACGGCTCCGAGGATGGCCTCCACCGCAAATTTCAGCGGTTATCATGGGTCAACAAGAATACAAGCAAGTGCTGAACGCTCTTGGCAAACTCCTTTATCATGTCTATGTATCCAGATTGTGTCGGGCATCTACAGCTGTTCTCCTGTGGCGCCGCAATCCTACTAGTGACCGAGGACTGATCACAGTTATACCGCGAGCCGGAGATCTCCAGATACAGTTCCAATCTGTCGTGTATTTCTCCTACGGACCAGGAGGTAGATGAGTCCGACTGCAACTAAAGCAATGGCCTCCATGGCGAGCGAGACTGCATTGCCCATAATATAGCGCGGCGAGTCCTTCTTAGGATAAATCTGGGACGAGGGAATTCCCGAGGCGTTGGCGATGGAGATGAGCAGAGGAATACCGATTGAGCGCACGTGATCATTAGGAAGGTTATTTGTCACCCAGGTGACGACAAGGGTGTTGTAAGGGTAGACACCTATGACATCTTAGGGGCTGGACAGTTTCAACAGGGTGTGAATTAGACTCACCAGCAGCAACGAGGAACATGGCGAAAAGGTCTGCGCCGTGGTTACCAGTGCCGACGGTGATCGCATAGCCAATAAGGACAGGAATCGGAACGATCATGGCGATGACGCCGCGCTTGTTGAGTTTGTCGGAGAGCCAAGCGACGAGGCACAGGAACAGGCAGGCAAAGACGTAAACTGGGATGGAGAGATAGTTCGCCTGAAGGGAGGTATATCTACTACGTATGAGATGCATACTTTCACTATGTGAAGGAGAAAAGAGACATACCCAAAACCAACGACGAGAGTAGGCAGAAAGGTTGTGAAGCCGAATAGCGGAACGGACGAGCAGAACATGCCGATGGCGGCAACGTAGATAATGGGTTCCGTAAAAGCCATCTTGGCATACTTCCACTCGAATTTTCTCTCGCCCTTGTAGGCGACGTCACGCTTGACACGCAGACTCATGACGTAGCGCTCCTCTTCGTTGAGAAACCATGCCTTCTCAGAGTCAAACGGTAGTGTGACCCAGAGAGCCAGGCCGATCACGATGGAGATGCAACCCTCGATGATGAACAGCCAGCGCCAGGCCTCAAGGCTGGCCTTGGAGCCCATTGTCTGGATGCCGTAGGCAACGAGGCCACCAAAAGCACCTGAGAGGGCAATGGCACCGTAGAGAACGGCAATGCGCTTGGCTTGTTGGGCCCGGGAGTAGACGGTCGATATCAGGAAAGCAAGGCAGGGGAAGAGGCCCGACTCGAAAACTCCGAGGAGAAGGCGGACCGCGATACCTTGGTAATAGTTGTGGATGAAGCCAGTTCCAATAGTGACGACACTCCAACCGATCATAGCGACAGCTAGGACTATGTTGGCCCCCCATTTCTTGACCGCCACAACCCAGGGAATCTCGAACAAGACGTAGGTCGGATAGAACAAGGTTGACAGGTCATTAAACTGTGTTCCAACGAGCCCCAGGTCTTGTTCAAAACCAAAGACTCGAGCGTTTCCTGTCGAAAGCTCGTGTCAATGCCAACGGCCACAACGCTGATAACGATGAGATGCTCACATACCAATATTAGTTCGGTCAAGATATGCAATGAGCATGAGCAACGCCATTTGCGGCATCATGTACTTGTCGAATTTCGAGATAGCACGTTTCTCTAGGACCGAATCGATCAATATTGAGCTTTCACCCATGGCCGAATGTGGCGAGTCGGTGTTGCTCGGAACAAAGTCCGAGTTAATCTTAGCTTCTTTGGTATACTCCATGGTCATGTTGTCTGGGAGGTGAAAGTGAATGGACTTGATGATGATATTCGAGTTGAGACTCCGCCGCCCTTTTTGAGGACAGCATAGCTGATGAGTCCGACAATGATATCGGGAGAGCTCATCGAGATGACCCGTATCTGTTGATAAGTGTCGCCGGCTCAGCTCAACAATAAGTCTTGATAACAGATTTAGGTTGTTAGCTTAGCCGTTGATAAGCGGTTGTTTGGACCCGGCGAAGAAGCAGTTGACCAGTCAGGTTCCGTTTTCGCCGAAACTATGGAGCTAGAATCCGCCGAATATATTTATAGATTGTGGTGGAGACGAATTCGCCGAATAATTTGTGGGTACGGGACCGCGATAGAGTACGTTTATGGGCCAACTATTAATGCCCATACTTGCTAGAACATCGAGCCGTGTGTGTGCTTGAGAAGTCTGATATCGAGGCGACAGTCGGCATCATTCTGTTTACGTTCAAACAGCCATCCGACTAGCATCTTCTCTCCAAGTTCTGTAAGCGAAACTTAAGGAAAAACGACCTCGCAATTCGCACCGCAAATATGTCAACGACGGCGACCATGACGACGCCTGCCCAGATCCTGTCGCAGATCAGCCCTGTACTCACAGTAGTCATAGATAGGCAACGGCTGATGGATGACATACATCTCACGGCTCAATGGGGCGAAGGACAGAGATGGGGAGAGTATGCCTGCGCCATGTTCTCTCACTTTAAAGTGAGCCACAAGAGCTGACGATGAAACAGCGCCCCGACCGAGATTGGCATGGCTCGGCTAGCGTTGAGTGATGCAGATAAAATGACACGAGATTGGTTTATCCAAGAGGTCAAGAAGTATGGTTGCAAAGTGCAGGTTGATGCAATGGGCAATATCTTTGCCATCCGGCCTGGCAGAAGAGAAGGTCACCCTACGTTCATGGGCTCTCACCTGGACACGCAACCCGCTGGCGGTAGATACGACGGTATTCTTGGCGTTCTCGCAGGAGTTGCAGCCCTGAGAGCTCTGCACGAGTCTGGAATCGAAACCGAGTACCCTGTTGGTGTTGTTGACTGGACCAAGTAAGTGCTGCCTGTAATTGGATGACATTCCATAATATAACTGCTTACGGCAAGCAGTGAGGAGGGTGCAAGATTTCCACAGTGCATGATGGCTTCTGCAGTATGGGCTGGTGTTACAGACGTCAACAGCACACATCGGATCGCTGATATCGAAGATGCAAACGTTACAGTCAGGTCTGAGCTGGAGAGGATAGGCTACCTGGGCGCGATACCTGCGCACTACACCGCGACGCCTATGGCGGCTCATTTTGAGCTTCATATCGGTATGCAATCTAGTATTTTGCCGAAATGTGACCACATGCTGACAGAGTTATTCAGAGCAAGGGCCCATTCTTGAGGCATCCAACCAATGCATCGGTGCTGTCCAGGGAGTCCAGGCCAGCAAATGGTTCACCATCACCGTCGGGGGCCGAGACAGCCATACCGGAGCCACTAACTTTGAGAACCGGTCCGATGCTCTTCTGACCAGTGCGCAAATGATTCTACGGTCACATCAAGTCGCTACCGAGTTCAAGTCGTTGGCATCCACTGGCCTCCTCTCCCTGGAGCCGGGAAGCACGAATACCGTTCCTGGAGTTGTCACTTTCTCAATGGACCTGCGATCCAGCGAGAATAAGAAAATTGACGAAATGGAAGAGATTCTTCGAAGGGATTTTGAAAGCATTGCCAAGGGCGAAAGCGTCGGAACTGTTACTGCAGGATGCACTCGTGGTCGTGGTTGCAGCGTCTCTTGGAAGGTCGACTCAGATGCCAAGGTTGCCAACTTTGACAAGGACTGTATTGAATGCATAGAGAAGGGGAGCGAGTCGCTGTTCGGAGAACAGGCGTCATCACTGACGAGGAGGATGTATAGTGGCGCTGGACACGACAGTGTGCACACCTCTACGAGGGTGCCCACGGCGATGATATTCGTTCCATGCAGAGAGGGCATAACTCACAACCCGACTGAGTATTGCTCGCCGACGGACTGCGGTAACGGAGCACAGGTTCTTCTCAATGCTGTACTCAGATACGACCACCTTCGATCCACCAAGGCATCACCTTGAGGGAGCTTGCGTGCAGTGATACAGCGACGGGAAGCAGTAATGGTTGAGAATACCAAGAATAACTAAAGAAAGAAACGTGTCTTATGTTGTTTCGTATATTAATCTATCCATGTCTTGCCGTGCGCCAGTATGCCTTGCTATGACTACCGCGAGGTCAGACTGATTGAGAAGTATCTGCCAGAATTCTGTATTATTCTGCATTATCTCGCCTTGTTCGTAAGGCACTATTCCCATTCGACGATACTAAAACCTTCCTAAGTACCTGTTTGAGAACCCAGAGTAGATTATCTTTATATATGCACCGTCAAAGTCGACAGGTGACGTTGAGTGCATCACACAAAGACATTTAAGACCTCCCCCGAGATGCGTTCGCATCACTTGCATGAGCCGCCATACGGCGTTCCTATTCGACGACCAACCCTCAATAAAGTGTAAACCTTCCTCATTCCACGATTCCCGATGCCTAATCAATCCGCACGATTTCGATGAGCCACCAAGCGGCACGTCCTTCGACCTGAACGATCACACTCGTATCTATTGTTTGGTTTTCTGTTCCTTGAAGCCAAGCTCGGCCAGGAACGAGATCCTCGTTACCGTCACTCCAATTGTGATGATCATCCCAACCCAGTCCCCAACTTGCCACGTCGTAGGCGAGAGTCGGCCTTGTTTCCCAAACACCTCGTAGGTACCCGCAAGAAGGGAAAGATCGATCGCTAGAATAGCGGCTTGCGCGATCTTCCATACCCCGATGTCTTGAGTGTATCGTAGGAGCATGCCATTGAGGATAACACAGCCAACCAGAGCCCCGCCACCCTGGTAGAGAAGCATGTCGTGGGCTGCATCGCGCGCTCCGGTATGGGATTCAAGGAAGAACTGGTCAAGCATCCAGTCGCGCGTGAAGAAAGACATGAACGCTCCCCAGAGCGCGCATGGTGGATCCCAGTAGAGGAAGACGGCTTTGTAGATGGAGGGGATCTGGGTAGTCATCGTGAAGTGCTGGTAACTGGAGAATCCTGCAAGAACTTAAAGAGGTTCTGCGCCAAAAGGGCAAATGAGGGGGCGTGATAGCCTATTAACACCGCGGAGACGAAAAGTCTGGCCTTGAGGCTTGATCAATACTGGAAACTGCCTAGTGCTGACGGCTGAATCACGAAGTTCTTCCTTCCTTGTGGGATGATGATCCGCCCCCTCACTACCAGCTTTAAACCTTCTGTGCTGCGGCATCAATGTGCTTGTACTCTATTAGGCGTGTGGAGAACACAAGAAACAGTCGATCACGCGAACAATGTTGGCAATACATCTTACCGTGCCTTGGACGATCGCTTTTGAAGATAGCTCTAGTTGAGAGCTGTCTCAGTCATATGCAACGAAGATGAACAATGCCCGGGAGGGCTCAGAGCACCACAGGATCAAAAGAGATCAAGCATCCAGAACAGGAAGCAAGCGAGAACATCAGAATTGATATTGCTCCAGCCCATGGGCCACTGATATGTCCATATAACGTGATTCACTGTAATCCAGTAACGATTGTGATAGTAAATATGAGAAGGAAATGTATACCACTACATCGAAAGGATATAGAATCATGAAGAGCAAGGTATTCCAATGCTACACTGATGGGTTTGTGAAAGGTGCCTATCAATCATCTCCTGATACGGTAGTGGCGCCAGCTTCAATTAATACACATGTTTGAGCCATGTCCACTTGATAAAGTTGAGGATTGTCATATTCAATGTAGGTGTTATAGAAAAAATGGAGAGTCATGAGCGGGCAGAGTGTTTTGACGTTGACGCTGACGGTGTCACATGCATGCAGCCTTGCTAGGTTGATGTTCATAATCTATCGCAGGAATCTGGTCTGAAAGGAATTATAGTATAGCGGAAGTAATTATCACATTGCCTTTCGCGACCTCTTGGCTACATTCCAGGGACCACCAAGGCAGGTCTGACAAGTATTGGAAGGAAGTGCAGAAGTACCCAGTTTAATTGTTTAGTACTAATCGGCCCTATGAAACGAATAAGTTGCGGGATGTCTGGTAAGAAAGCAAGGAGACCATCCGTATAAAGTCTTCGTGATGGATGCGGTGCCAATGAGCCATTAGAGCCACTAGGGCTGGGCCTAAGGTCTTACGCCGCCACACCAATGCAGTACCAATAAGTCCCCAGAAGCTGGTACCACAGTTTGCACCGTCGGCTCCAAGTACCGAATTCCAACTGTAGAAGTCTGCAGCCCAACTTCCCTCTCGCCTAATTTTTCTTGGCATCTGCTGTTAGTGAATGAGTGAGCCTACCACCAAATTACTAACAGCCGAAAACTCTTCACCTCCCCTTGCCGGAGCCCGCATCCGCGATGGCCTCACAGCCGCCGTCGGGCACCGGACTGATGTCGGCCGACCAAGCCGACCCCGAACCAGGCTCCGGGACACCTCCGGAGCCGAACCCCACCTCAAGAGCTAAGCGACGCCGCGACGCCGAGGCACAGCCGACCCGGCCCAGCCTAACGGGAAGCCAGCTTGATGCCACCACACG